GCAGAAAAGCAATGGAGCAAAGCCCCTGAGAAGGCAAGTGGGTGAGAGAAGACTTTGTTAGAAACAGGACACAAGTAATTTAACTTAATACAAAAAGACCTGATTGAGCAGTGAAAATCGTTGTAAGAAGTTAGGTCACACTATTTTAGTTTAATGGATTACTTATAATTTTTACTTTAATGGTTCAGTTATGAAGTTTTGACTACCATTATCAATCTTACTGTTTACTACACTGGCCCAGTGACGGCTTTCCTGATCTCAGAATGGATGTGAAAACTTTTGTTCTAGTCTGAAACGGCCATGGATTGCTAGGTTTCTTCTGTTTTCCTTCTTGCCTCTTCTCTCACAGAAATCTACATGATATCTGCATTGTGGCTAAAATCTTCCAGAGTAAGCACTTCAAATAGAAGTTTTTAAAGCTCAATTAAAGTTTAAGAGGACACCAATATTCAAAAGCATCACACAATGTGAGTATTAGCCTAGTAAATAGCAATAAATTCAAAAGCTCGGGCTAATGACAGCTACACAGATAGCACATGGGGAGCTGGCGAATGGTTCCGATTAAAGTGCTTGCCAAGCAAACATGAGGACTTGAGTTTGATTCCAGCACCCATGTAAAACGCTTACCATGTGATGTGTGCTTGTAATCCCAGTGCTGAGAGGCAGAGACAGGGATTCCTGGGCATGGTGGTGAGCTAGCCTAGCCTAACTGGGAAGCTCCAGGCCAATGAGAGGCGCTATCTCAAAAACCAAAGTGCACAATGTCTAAGGAACAATGCCTTGAGTTTGACTACTGGTGCCTACAGACACACGTGCACAATAACACATAGAAAGAAAGTACATAAGTAATAATGATAGCGCTTATGTCTGATAACGCCTTTGGGTTTAATGCTGAAGACTATAAAACTATTCTGGTAGTTTATATCTTCTAATGTCTGCTATTTAGAGTAAGCAACAGAATTTAACATTTCTAAGTTTAAGAGAAACATAATTAAATACTTTACCAATAAAAAGGACACTCAACTAGATTGAAAAACAAAATGATGTTATTTTGAAACACAGTTAAAGATTAAAGAATTCTGGCAATTTAATTATATATAGGGGCAAATAGACAAAACAGTCAATTTCAGATATAAAAATATGAATTTAAGCAAACAATTAATTTTTCATTAAAGAGATACTTTTATGTAAATTATAATGGTGCTTTTTAGCACATGGAGAAATGGATATACTTCATTCATTTTTGATGAATTTTAATAGCACAAAACCTATTCTGTGTGTGTGTATGTGTTCATTTGCATGTGCACGTGTGTGTAAACAGGAGGCCTACATTTCTCTCTACCTTATTTTTTGAGTCATGATCTCACCAAACATGGAGCTCACCAATTTGATTAGGTTGGCTCAACAGCAACGCCAGCGATCTTCCTGCACTATGATTTCAGCTGGGTACTACCCTGCCCGGCTCTACGTGGGTGCTGGACGTTCAAACTCAGGTGTTGAAGCTTATACTTTACTAACTGAGCAATTTCTCTAGCCACAAAACTATTTCTTAAATAGAAATAATTCAGCCATTATAAATTTTGGATTTTACTTGCAAAAATTTATTTTATGAAAATAATTATAGGATTAATAGAGGCAGAGGTCCAATAATAGAAATGTACTGCTAAGAATGTGTTACAAGTAATCTAACAGAATTCCCAACACCAGGTCAGGATTCTCCAAGAGACTGACTCCTAAAACATTTTAGCCCTTGACTGTCCTCCCAGTCCCAAGGTGGAGTGTGCCTATTGCTAAAGCACGGCCCAGATGCCTCTCAGCTGGAACTGACCTGAAGAACTGCTCTGATGACTAGCTTTCATAGAACCAGAACGTTTCATGCAAGCTTCCAAAAATAGGGGAAAACCCAACAGTTATACCCAGCTATGATGCCTATGAACAACAATGACCAGCACGGCACGGTAACTTTAAGGGTGCAGTAGTGGCACCACCTTGACGATAACCAGCAACTTGCTAATCAGACTTAAGACCCACTCAACAAGAGGAAAATCTCAGAAGAGATGCCATGCCCCGCTCCCGGGCAGACACACACAATTCAGCTCCGACCCAGAATGGACTTAGGCTAGAATCTTCCCGGTAAGACCGGTGCTCACAGATTATTAGAGATGGGTTGATCGGGATATCAGAATTAGCCAGTAACGGCTAGAGCTAAAGGGCCAAGCAGTGTTTACATGAATACAATTTGTGTGTTGTTATTTCGGGTAAAGCTAGCCGTGGGCCTGCCACTCTTATTACTACATATTATACCTTTCAGTTTTGTGTTTTTTTTTTGTTTTTGTTTTTTATTGAGAGAAGGAGAAAAAAAAAACAAGTTTCCACCTCCTCCCAGCCTCCCATTTCCCTCCCCCTCCTCCCACCTTTCTCCCCCTCCCCCCACTCCTTTCCCCCTCCCTCTCCAGTCCAAAGAGCAGTCAGGGTTTTCTGCCCTGTGGTAAGACCTAGGACCTCCCACCTCCGTCCATATCTAGGAAGGTGAACATTGAAACTGGCTAGGCTCCCACAAAGCCATCACATTACGTAGGATCAAACCCCTGTGCCATTGTCCTTTGTGTCTCATCAGCCCTCATTGTTCGCCATGTTCAGAGAGTCCAGTTTTATCCCATGCTTTTTCAGTCACAGTCCAGCTGGTCTTGGTGAGCTCTCAATAGATCAGCTCCACTGTCTCAGTGGGTCTGAGCTCACTTCCTCTTCCTCCCAGCATTCTGTTCTGTTTTCTCCACCCACCTGTGTTCTAACCTATGAGGGCCAGCCAAGCAGTTTCTTTATTTTTTTAACCAATGACCTTCCTCCATCAATAATATATACACAAAGAGCATGTATGATAAAAATCAGGGGGGAAAAATAAATAAAAATTAAAGATGTGAAATAGAAACACTTTAAAAAATGAAAAAGTAAAAGTAAAAGAAAGATAAAATCTCTCATGAGACATTAAGAGGCAAATAACCTCCAAAGATGCTATTGAGTTATATGGGATAATCTTCTTGTATACTATAAAGCTATGTCTTTGTCAAGGAACCTTTTGATTGCTTTAATAAAGACTGAATTGCCAACAGCTAGACAGGAGATAGTAGATGGGACTTCCAGGGAGAGAAAGGTATGGTGGAAGAATTTAGGTGCCAGTGAGACCTGGAACATGTTGGACATACAGAATGGAAGATACATAAAAGCCACATGGCACAACATAGATTAATAGAAACAGATTAATTTAAGATGTAAGTATCTAGATCAAAACAAACCTCGGACAAATGCCAAGGTTACATATTTAACAGTAAGTCTCTGTTGTTATTTGGGTACTGGCAGTTCAAGAAATTCTGATGAGAAAGCATAACTATAATTGAGTTTATACCTGCAGTTTCTGATGTCACAGAAATTATGTATCCCCTTGTATACAGAGTTAAATTATTTTATAAATTGAAATATTTTAACCAATATGCAGTAAATTTTAGCAACTAGTCTGTTCTATGGAAAAAAAAAAACAAGAGGAAAATCACACCTGGCACTGGAAACCTAGCCAATTAACCATGGCTAGGGAAGTCATGGATCTTGGAGAAGAACCTACATTCTCCACTTTACTAAACCAGGATAATCCTTAAGTATATTCTAAATGTTTATCTTTATACTCTAAGAGTGTAAGTGCAGTCCTTACTTTTTACCAAGAAAGCTTCTCTTTGCAATAGAATGAGACCAACACAGAAAACAACAAGCAAAAGTGCAGAGTTATGGAGTCCTGCCCCAATGGATACACCTACCAAACAACCCTCAGCTAATGCTCAGAGAACATTGCAGAAGAAGGAACAGGAAGGTGTACGAGCCAGAGGATCAGGGAGTTTGCTATAAGATAGCATCTCTTAGTAATAATGTCAGGAGTTACACCCATGTCTTAGCAGTAAGACTGCTAAAGCATGAGCTGAATAAGAACAACAATAACAGAGATGCCAAAGCAGAAGGAAAGGCCTATTAGGCCTCAGTCTTACACAAAAAAACTACAGGCAACTAAGGAATACTGAGAGTGAGACAAGCAGTCTTCACCAGGGAGCAGCACATCAACTGGTGATTCAATACCATGAGGTTAGCCCTGAAACATACATACAAGTAGCAGACAAGACTGGGCAGGCTATGTTAAGGAATATATATATATATATATATATATATATATATATATATATATGCATGCTAACAACAATTAATGGGAAAAGAGACTTTAAGTTATACTTATTGTTAATAATATCAAAACAATCAAAACAATATCTGTAATATTGCAATATACACAATAAAAAGAGCTACACAAACAATATACATGACATATTTTGGTAGGTATACATATGTAAAATTACATATAAGTAAAGTAGGCAAATGAATTTACAAATCCAGAGGAGAGCTCTGCAGGGAAGCAGGCGGAGGAGCTAAGAGAATCCAGATGGAAGCTGTATCCACTCTGCACCACACAGTCCTACTTGTAGAATGAAGCTGCCCATAAAAGAGTGAAAACCACAAGAGCCAGAGTGGTGTGCAGGAGTCCAAGGAACTATCAGGAAAGGACTTACACCTCTCCTCTGGCCCGTCTCAACAGAATCACAGGAACATCAAGGTTGCCGAAACAGCCACATCCTTTGGCTGGAGGTATTGGCATTTGCTGTGGGACCTGATGTGTGGTAACATTGAATGGTAGCTGAGAAAACAATTCCTCAGACGAGCAACTCGGAGTGCCTGCTATAAACTCTGTTTTATTCCCCAAGTAGGATATTTACTGAGAGAGAACCAGAGCTCCAAAGCTATTTGTTAGCACCACTAAAAAGAGCCTTAGCCAATATCCAGTAAAGTCGGGACATTCTGTTGCTTTTGTTTGTACTTGTTTGGGTTTTGAATCAATTAAAAGCCAGTACTGGCCATCGGGCAATGCTATCAGTGGAGAGACAGCATCATCCAAATGAGACCACACTTACCTTTGGGTTGTTTGCATCAAATAGACCAGTTGAAAGCCCAATCAGTAAGGAGTTCTTGGTTTTAGTTTTTGGTGGTGAATCAGAGCGAGATCGGAGTGAAACTGGTTCTGACTGAACTACGCTCAAGTACTCAGACTGAGCCACTTTCTGGAAGAATGGTTCTGGCGGTACTGACTTCTCTATGTCACATCTGGACTGCTGAGAATCATCTACTGCAGGCTCTGTGGAATAAAAAGAGATTATATCATAAATTTATAGAATAGCACTTAAAATTCTAAAAATATCAGCAAGTATCATATAATATTTAACACGCATCCCATCCTAAGATCTGCAGAGATGGCTTGGTGCTAAAACACTTGCTGTTCTTGCAGGAGCCCTGGGTGTGGCTCCTAGGACCTCCCATAGCAGCTCGCAACCATCTTTAACTTCAGTTCCAGAGAATCTGACCTGCTATACTCTTCTGGCTTCTGTGGTTACCATGACCAAATGTGGAACAAATACTACTTATATGCAGACAAAACACTCAGCCATATAAAATATTTTTTAATTAAAAATGAATTAAAAAAAACTCATACCAGGAAAACAAAATCAAAGTATACATATAAGTATACTGTATACTATCTTAAAAATAACCATTAAGGAGACATAACATTTTAATTTCATATATATCTTTATTATATTAGAAGTTTTAAAATAAAGAAATCTAAAGAAATGTAAAAATACAGTTTAGAAAATCAATTTTTCTGTTCGTTTTCATAGAGGAGAAAAATTGTTTATATTGTGTTATATTTTGAACAACAGTATTTTAAAAAGATACCAGTTTACTCAGTGTCTTTGGTATATTGCTTTGTTTTAGCAGCAAATTCTTTTCATTTTCAACAATACAACTTACCAAAAAGTTAACTGCTTATATTACCACAATCCCGGGCCAGCTAGTACAGGTTCCTAGTTTCAAGGCCTATTTTAAAATAGAATAATGACGACTTATAATGGTGCCCAAATGAGACAGGCTGGTGTTAAGAAGCCGTCCAGAAAGAGTTAGACTCCTACAGTGGCACTTGCCTATATGATTCTCACGAGACTGCTCCACATTCCCTGGAATGCTGCCTTCACAAACCTCACTCTGCTGCTCAACAACCTTATCTTCCAACCTGCCACAGACAGACAAACCAAACAAAATAAATACCACGCAGTTTTATTAGAAATAAAAGCCCTTTTATATAAAGAAAATGAAATCCACATCTACTAGCATCCTGAACTCCCCTGTCCAAATGATTTTCTAATCTTAATATAATACTTCCTCTTTAAGTACAGTGTTTTCTACTTTGAGCAAAGTGAAACTCTTACCAATCACTAATCATTAGTTAATATTCATTCATTCTGAAAGTTTACATTGGTCAAAACTCTAAAGAATGACTAAATTACAAATGCAATTCATCTAAATATCACATCTCTGCTTCAAAAAACCACCTGATTTTGCAAAAATATTTTATGTAAAACATTATTCATTGCAGCATCACAATACATAGCATGAATATTCATCAAGTAGTAAGTTATTGAGTTTTCTTATATCCATATAATAGAATATAAAATAGAGAACTTTCAATTAATGTGAGAAAATTTCCCAGACTACAAACTTTTTAAAAAAGTATTTGTTCTATATGTATGTGTATGTGTGTGTACATCACATGTGCACAGGAATCCTTGAAGGAGGGAAGAGGAATCAGATACCCTGAAACTAGAGTTACAGGGTCTATGAGTTGGCATGTATGTGCTGGGAGCCAATCCCAGGTCCGCAAGAGCAGTAAGCCCTTTTTAACTGCTGACTACCGACTTTATAAACAAAGTGAGCATGGAGTTTGCTCAGTGGTTAAGAGGGAGCACTGACTGTTCTTTCATAAGGACCAGCGTTTGGATCCCAGCACACACACGGATCAGCTCATAAAAACTACAGGTCCAGCGCCAGGGGATTCAGTGTGGCTTCCTGCCTCCATATTTTATCTGTGCACACACATGTGAGCATACACTTTCAAAGACACACAAACACATATTAAAAAACTGAAAAGGTTTTAATAAGCATTGTATATATTAGCAACTGTATTTGAAAAGACTATGTATTTTGTTTATATATAATAAAAATTATCTGCAGAGAAAAATCAGAAATTGGTTGAATGGGAATAAAGGCTGGCAAGACATTTACTGCTTATCTTCATATAGTTTTTTATTTCTGTCCCATGCTAATATCTATTAAGAAATCAAATTACTTTATAGGGGGTACTACAATATGAAGTTATTAAACTACAACATTAGTTAATACAGCATTACTTATTAAAGAGCTTACCAAAGGGACCTGGCTTTGAAAAGTAAAGAAAAAGACAACATACTCAGTTTCCTTAGCTTCTTCTTCCTCACTAATCCACACATCATTAACAGCACGTGGCAAACTCCCATCTGTGTCTGTGCTACTTGGCTCTTGGAGAACTTCTGTCTCCAAATCATCAGGTTCTGCAAAGCAAGATCAGGAGATGTCAGAGTAAAGTTTGCTGAGAATGGGCTGACTAACTTTCTGTAAGTTATTATTTCAGTTAGTTTAACTCAAGAAAATCAACTGTTTAAAGCTTTCTGGGCTAGTTCTGTAGCACAGTCATTCCTAAAATGAAAGACTAGGCCTTTCATTTTTTTTTGGTATAACAAAAATACTTGAGTACTGTGCACAATATTCATTATTATGTAAGGTATATGCCGGGCGGTGGTGGTGCACGTCTTTAATCCCAGCACTCGGGAGGCAGAGGCAGGCGGATCTCTATGAGTTCGAGGCCAGCCTGGTCTACAAGAGCTAGTTCCAGGACAGGCTCCAAAGCTACAGAGACACCCTGCCTCAAAAAAAAAAAAAAAAAAAAAAAAGAAAAAAGAAAAAGAAAAAAGATATAAGCCTTATTAAAACTACAGCAATATGTAAATCAGCATAAAGGAATCAAAACTAAAGACTAAAGATACCTGTTGTTACAAGTATGAGAAAATAGACTGTATTATTAATATTTAGTAAAGAAACTTTAATCTTGGAAATCTTCCAACAACCACAAAAGAAAACCAATATGATTACCTGGACTTTTACAATGGAGTTGAGAAAACTGAAGTATGCTAAATCAATTTTCTTATACCCTCAAATAATTAATAGCTAGGAAACTATTTTTCTGGCCATCTTTAAAGAGAGTCTATTTGTCCATTTATATGTGCATGTATATGTCTGCATGAATGTATGCACATATGCAAGGTATGTGTAAATATATGTAGAGGCTAGAAAAGAGCCCGATCCCTTCGAGCTGAAGTTATGAGTGCTTGCAGAATGGCAGACATGGGGTGCTGGGATTCACACTCCGGTCTGCATAACTGTGCAGCAAGTGCTTTGCTGCTGAGTCCTCTCTTCAGTCCCACTGAGACTTCTATTTTTCCTGTCTGAGATCATATACTTTCTTCCTTAATTCAACACCATGCACATTTTTTCATGGACTTCAGATATGCTTTTCTTATCTATTTTCAAATTTCTAATGATTTGCCCTATTGTGAAAGACAAGAGACATGCAAATACTAATTTTGATCTGTTGCTCACATGAATGTTTGGGTCATCCATACAAGGTATGTACTAAGATAGAAGAACCTTTTTATTTTGTCTTTTAATGTGTAATTCTGTTCTTGTTAAATGGAGGGAGAAAAGGAGGTGGCAATGGGTTGGTTGTTTCTAGAAAGAAGCTGACACAAGTTTTCCTTTGGGAGAGTTTTATCGGCCTTAAGATAACAGAGACGCAGTCACTCTGAGGCAGGACAGTGCCCTCTAACAGACAACAGGAAGGAGAAGGCCTGATGGAGGAGAGCTTTCCCTTAGAACCCACAAAGGAGTTTTAGTAAGAGGCACAGCTTAAAGAACCAGAGAGACAGCTGTCATGGACAGAATGATGGGAGGGGATCAATTTTAGAGAAATTCTACAAACACAGGAAAATATATGACCTTTATATCCTTCCAGGGGCTGGTATGAAGCTCCATATCACATGATTTTGTTCAACACAGCCCACTGACAGGGAGCACGAAGGAGCCAGCTACAGTGTAGCACTATAAATCAGGGGTGGTAGATCCACAGCACAGATAGCTTCTTAACTCTATGTCCCAGAGAAAGAGCTGAGGGGAGCAAGGCCTGGTTTTTCCAGGCTGTGGGATGGACTTCTTAGAGAGATCAGCTTCTTAAAGGGGTAGGTTCACTATTTAACAATTCCCTAGTGATCTTCAGCTCTATCAAAACTAACATTCTATCCTCTAAACTCAATTTGTGACCATGGTTTCCATAAAGCCTAAAATATTTACTCCACAACTCTGTAGGAAAAGTGAAGCTTGCCAACCTCAAAACTAGGCTATAAACTCTCTACTATATGCACACTCATCCTGCTGGTTAATTTTATCTTTTAAATATTTTATTATTAATTTTTAAGAAGGGTACAACATACTACCTTGTTTGGGATACTATGATAAAGTATCAGACTGGTGACTTGAAGAGAAATTTATTTCTCTTCATTTCAGCAGTCAAGAGAATCTAGCATCAGGATCCCAGCACAGTCAGTTCTGGAGAAAGGTTTTCCTCCAGGTACACTGACAGCCTTTTTCTTCATGTATTTTCAGCATGATATAGAACAAAGGCTGACTTTCCGGCCTTTTCTTAGAAGGAAATTAATGCCATTCATGAGGCCAACATACACATCTTTTGAGGAAGAGACATCATTCTGTACCACATGACTAACTATGCTCTGTGAACGCAATGGGTTACTGTGGTGAACATGCTGCATGGGACACAGTCTCTGACAGTCTCCTTATCTAATGAGCACAATGGAAGTGATGCTATTCCTATTCACGACTGAATGTTTAGGAAACTGGCAGCCTCTGGTTGGTATCTGGAAGTCAAAGCATCATAAAGAAGTTTATTTAGCTCAGAAAAAACCCATGGCAATTTTTTGACACTAAAATATCAATATTATTGTGGAAAGAATGTAGTATTTTTAGTTAATGAGCAGGCTGGTAGGTTAAAGATGGTTGCAGATTCTTTAATGCTCTTCCCTTTGAGAGGCAGGCCTAGCTCCCTACCTTGGGCACACTCTGGGTTTGTGACAGCTCTGACCAATAGAAGTGCTAATGGTCCCAGTTCAGTTCTCTGGTTAACTTTAAAGAACACACACAGCAAAAAAAAAAAAAAAAAAAAAAAAAAAATCAATCAAACTAACAAAAAACCATACACACCATACACAGCTTTTAATGTAGCACCTGAGATGGCTGTAGGTTCTTTAAGACCTTCTCCTCTCAGAGGTGAATCCTATTTCCCCCACATCGGAACCTCCAGGTCATCAGAGAATAAAATCATAGAAGCTATGAAAAACAGGTGCTGGAGAGACTGCTCGACTGTGAAGAGCACTGGGTGTTTTCCCAAGGACCCAAGTGCAATTCCCAGCACCCACGTGGTGACTCACGATCATCTCAGACTTCAGCTGCATCATCATCTTCTGGCTTAGGCAGGCACCAGACATACAAACAGGTAAACCCCCATGTTCATAAAATAATAAAAGCTTTATTTTGAAAGGTAGGAAGAATACAGAATGTGACTGAGGTTCCTCAAAACACAGAGAGGGGCCTGTCACACTCGGCTTCTGAGGTTTACCTTCCAAGACGGCAGAAAAATGATCACGTCGTCTCACTGACAGCTGAGTATCACATCGCTTGGCCTCTTAGGCAAAGACAATGTACTAGGAAAATCACAATCCCAGTCTTGACTCAACCCTGATCCATAAAATAATGGGATAGAATGGTCAGTAACTAGGACGCATGGTCCTATATGCCCGTAGCTCTCACCAGCAGCGAGAGCGGGACTCTGCACTCTAGGAGACCAGCCCGACCCTCCTAACGCAACCCTTGAAAACTCTTGGTCTTCAAAACCAAAAACGGGGGGGGGGGGGGGGGGGGAGATAGTTACTAAAATTAGTGAGCCTAATTTGAGATGAATTACTCAAACCTACACACAAATTTTGACAATTTCTTCAATGATTCAATACTAATTAAAATTTAGCTCATTTAAATGCATTACAACATACCTTCCACATTTCCTTCTGACGTTGGTGGAGGCACCTCACTAAACTTTGGGCTTTCTGTTTCAACAGAATCAACAGTACCTGATGGATTTATTTCTTTTGAAGTACATTCTGGTTTCTCTTCTCCAACAATTAAGGGCTTGTAGTTTTCGCCTTCAGGATAAATCTCTGTAGAAGCAAAACAACGAAAAGTCTACTGCTCTCAAGAGGTTTTGAAGTTACTTGCAATGATATTTAGAGCCAAAAAAACCAAAAACAAACCCTAGATTGTTGCATCAGGTGAAGCTCTTTTACACACTAGAAACTAATGAGTTAAGAAAATGTGGCAGCCAAATTTCATTTCATAATGACCTTCAAGGTGGATAACACAATTTGAATTCTTCCTTTTGGGGAAAAATTAATACACCTGTATCAGAATTGAATTTTAAAATTACTAACCAACTTTTAAAAGCTATTTGTTTTCATATAGCTTCGTTTTTCACATGTAGTTTTTCATATGATATTTACTTCTAGTTTGCTACAAACTCTGCACACTGTGGCTGTTTCCAGGAAAAGATTGATCATAAAACAACTGACTGTAGTCATTGACTCTCCTCATTCCTGTGTGACTGTTTACAAGCCAGTGCCCCAACTCCCCCAAATCAATGTTGTCATAGGTGGATGATTTTATATATACAATAAATAATCCTGCTAATATGTAAATCTCACAGTTCACTGAACTACCTCACTAACTCAGCTTTTTAATAAATCATATATTAGAAACATTATAAATTATGGCTCCTTAAAAGTTCCAATTTTAGGAATTCCCATATCTAATTTTTAGTGGTGTTTTTTATTCATCTCCCTCTAATATAGCTTTTTTGAATCAGGGTCTCACCATGTAGCCCTTGCTGGCTTGGATTCCCTATGTAGATCATGCTGGCTTTGAACTCAGAGATCTGCCTGCCTCTGCTTCCCAAGTGCTGGGATTAAAGGCATGGACCATCATGCCTGGCACTATTCTAGCTCAGTAAAAATTTCGTTTTTCATGGATTTGAAGCAGAGAGAGGAGGGTATATCGAGAGGGTTAGAAAAAAGGGAGCATGAAATATTATAATCTCAAAAAAGTTTGATTTTGCAAGTACGTTTAATGACTGGTTCTAACATTCTTTCCCCATTGTCCATCCCCATTGACATCCTTATAAAAGTCATCATTAGAATTATTCCTTTGCATACACTCTCAGCTTGTTGAACACACTTCACTGTACTCAACTGGAAAACCCTGAATTCATTCAATTTCTACACATGCCTGCTTGACATGATTGGAGAACAATAGACATTGTTGTGAAGTGACCTCAATTTTAATGATCTCTTTTGATGGTTTGGATCCCGATAGTCAAAGTGTCCCTGCAGGTACTTGTGTCTGCGTGTGGTGATGTTAAAGTGGTAAGACTTTTCAATGGCAAGTCAGTGAGGACACTGTTCATGACCTACGACAAGGAGATTCACCTTTCGTAAGAGCTAACTTTAGCCTGTTAGGAATGTACACAGGCTCTTTCCACAGTCTATTTCTCAGATTCTAGCTGACTCCTACAGAATATGTCAGGATCCTATGTCCTAAGTCAACTTTTCATATGCTTCAGCTATGAGTTCATGCTCAATCTCGAGGAGCAACAGAAAAAAATGCAAAAGGTAACGTGCATGCCTAGGCACTGTTCATGTCTGGACACTGTTCATCCACTCTCTGTCTTGTGAACAAGCTGTCCACTGGGAAGGCTTCTGTATACACAGTTGCTTTTCCTCAGGTGATACTCTAACACCCAAACACCTAAGACTCAGGAATCCAGAATGTCTTCCCTCCTGTCTGTGTCAGCACTCCATCTCAGTTCCAGAATGATGTCACACATACTTACAGACATTTTTTTCTACTCAATTTAACTCCCGAATCTCTTCACAAATACACCATGAATCTTAATAAACTGTTTCAACATTTTCCCTAATGGAAAACATGCTTGGACTTTTCCACCTCCCTCATCCAGATTTCCTATTCTTTAGATTTCATCCAGGTCTGACAAGGGCAGAAACCATTACTATTTAGAACAACCAACCCCCTGAAGGTGGACAGGTAGACTAATTCCACACAAGAAAATGGAAACACCTTAACACATTAATTTTTATAATACTACTTCTTGTGCTTACCACTTTTAAAAGCTGTGTTTTCTAGTAGTTCTGTCTGGGGTTAGAGTTCAGCTTCTCCTAGTATCTTCAGGACAGAATCTGTAGGGCTTTTCCCCCAGACTTTTCTTGGAGAGCCATTAGAATCTAACTTAATTACCTCTCCTACGGTATGTTCTGTGAGAAAAGAAATATAGAGAAACAATTCTCAAAGGTAGAATAATTCATTGTTTGGCAGCTTTAATTTCTACTATCCAACCAACCGTTTCATGCTAAAAGCTAATATAAAAATAAATCACAAGATAAATAAAAATATGGGCTAAAAGGTAAAAAACAGTCTAAGAAAACTTTGCCTTTGAGTTTATATCATAAGCAGACAACTAATACTTCTTTTCTACAAATAATCCTGGATAAAATAATTTAAATAAAATTTAGAAAGGCAAAAAATAATAGTCTCGAGTCATCAGAATATCTGGTAATAAAACATGAGCACAGGGACTAGGGAAATGGCTCAACAATTAAGAGCACTAGTTACCCACCCAAAGAACTTAGGTTCATTCCCCAGCACCTATACAGCGATTCACAAGCATCTGTAACTCTAGCTTCAGATCTCCAGTGAATGTGATGTTTTCTTCTAACCTCTGCAGACACCAGCTACCAAAAGATTCTCAGACATACAGTACATTCAGGCAAAACACCCACACACATAAAATAAAAATAAGATTTATACACTTAAGAGTAATACACATGATATACTACATGGTATATGTTAATATGGCCGTATAACTGTAGCCTACACAAGGTGACTTTAGAAAAACTATGATGTTTAATCTCGGTTGTCAACTGGACCTGGAATCAGCTGAAAGGCAGCTCACAGGGCACAGGTGTGAGATGGCCATCTTTGGAAGACTCTAAGTGTGTCGTGTAAACCAATCTAATAAACCCTCTTGTAATAAAGATTCTCTCTAGAGGTCTGTCCGTCTATAGAACCCTGACCAAGACACCAGCTGAAAGATGCTTTAGGACTCAGGATGCAGCATAAAGGGGAACAGCAAAAGGAGTCCAAGGTATAAAGGCTCATGCAAATCAGCAAGTAATACTCAGTTTTGTACCACCAACACAATTAGCATGACGGACCTAAGGTTCAAAAGCATAGCTAAGGTAAAAGATTCAAGAATCATGAACGAGGATCTAAATCTGTTTTCCTAGTTTTATATTTGTAATGAATTTTTTTTCTAGTGGATAAGTATAAACAAACATAGCTGATAAGTGGAGCGTAAGATCCAATGTGAAGTTCCCCAATTTTAGAATGGCTGTTCTAAAGAAGTTAGTTGAGATGTATAGAGTTTGGGCCTGGCTAATTTTTCTATGTGATGTTTTTTATTTACAAGTTCGTTATAATAAATTTTTAATTTGAAAAGGTTGTTATAAGCTTTAAATCTGGAAACAATATTTCTGCAAAAACACCAAGCCCAGTGCTTAGGGTTTCAAGCACTAATGCTGAAAAACCTTTGTTACAGAGCTACCAAAATCTAGAATCGCTGGCAAAAAAAAAAAAAAAAAAAAAAAAAAAAAGTGGTTAAAACAGTATAGATTAAAAGAAACAACAGGAAAAAGACTTGGAACTTAAGGTTACTTGGTATCTGATAAGAAGGGTCAAGAAATACAACAGAAAAGAAAATTTCTGGAACAATGGAAATGGAATGCCCACTTAAAAAAACCATGGGGAGAAAAACTGGCAGGATTTGTAGCCAGTCTGAGCTGAAGAGATGGAACCTGAGTCTGCGGGAAGAAAATGGCTCGCATCTGACGTACAGAGAGAAGTCAGGTCTCACAAAGCTGCGCACGTCACTACTTGAGCACCAGTCTGCACAGCACATGCAAGGAAACGACTGCAGTCTCGAGAGGAGAGCACCCAACAGAAGTGAAGGAGGAAGACCTGGAGTTTACAAAGACCAGAACCAGTTCCTATCTCCACCAGCCTGTAGTTCACAAGCCATTAGGCAGATTGTTCAGAAAGGTTGTGGACTCAGTAAAAGGGGAAGATTAACCATAAACTAAACACTGCTTGATTCCACTTCACAGAACTTAAGAAGAAGGCCTAAAAGGATCAAGATACTCATAACTAACCAAAGTGTATCCCAGAACAAAGGTCAAGAGTAGTTATAGAAATATAAAAACTACATAAACTTCCACAAATTATAATTCAGTGTTTTGTCCCTAAGCAAAAATAATCAAGTATAATATGGTCTACCAACCAAAACCAATGTCCAAATGACAGAGATGATGAGATTACTCACTGGGGAAGGACATTTGTAGTGATTATTATAGCTGGGCTCCCTTGGGTTCAACTAAAGAAGACTGACCATGGGAGGGACAAAATAAGGGAAGCTGGGCTGGTGTGCAGCTCAGTTGCAGAGTACTTGCCCAGCATGAAGAGACTCTGGACTAGAACCTCCTCTACCAAAAGGAGGAGGGGAAAAAAGATTGGTGCTGGACTTGTAGGAGAGAAGTCCAAAAGAACACAGGAAAAATAATGGCAAAGAATTTTCCAATACAAGTGACAGTTATGACTCACAAGTCCAAGAACACTAGCAAAAGGATGTGATAACAAGGAATGTCACCACCACGCTCACTGAAACCAGGGCTTTGAGAAAAAGCCAGAGCAGCAGCCAGAGGACAATGACATCCAGAGGAACCGCTGAGACTGACTGTTACAGAAGACTTCCCGCTGCAAGCAGTGGAGAAATATTGTTAAAGTAGAATAGAAAAAAGTATCAGCTAATTCCATAGCTCTTAACAAATATTTGTGAAGGCAGGCATAGTAAACTTTTGCAGACATATACAAGTTGAAGGAACCGATCATTAGTGATATTAAAGCATAGCAATTCTTAAAGGGAAGCCAACACGCAGAGGAAACAGAGCCAGACGGTAGAGAGCACTAAAAATGTAAACACAAAGCAGACACATAGGACCATTTCACTTACTGCTTACGTGTCCCTAAGAACTAATAACTAGATTATGAATTTTATAGCAAAAATATAAGCAAAGCAATTACCTCACCCATCCCAATCCTAGCACAAAGGTAGGAAGGAAGAAAGTGCAAGACTGTTATAATGCTGCTTGCTATATATAGGTTAAGCACTGAAGTCATTTGAAAATAGAGTTCATAAAAGTATATACTGTGGACTCTAAATCAAATAGTGAGTTATCAGAGTAATGAACTCTAAGAAAGCAAGAGGAAATAGAGAAAAAATCACAGATAAAGCAAGGTGGTACAGTTAAATTGTGTAGAATGCAAATAGTATAAAAGTATTAGGTGTTAGGAGTGGACTGAAAAAGCAAACACACACTAAATGTAAATGTATAAACAGTTTGAATGCGGGAAAGGGATAGATATCTCAATCTAACATTGAGCAAAAGAATATAAAAATGACTATACCAATAAAACATTCTTTAAAAGAGTTGGTTGGCACACACCTTTAATCCCAGCACTCAGTAGGCAGGCACAGGTGGATCTCTGTAAGTTCAAGGCCAGCCTAGTCTATAAGAGCTAGGTCCAGAACAAGCCCCAAAGCTACAGAGAAACCCTGACTCAAAAAACTAAAAACCAAAACCAAATCAAAATGAAAAAAATCTTTAAAAGAAAAAATTAAAGCTCACAATACAGATGCCTCTCAAAAAGCATATGTCAAAGAAGCCAGAAACAAAAGAACACAAAACTTACATGGCTGGCTTCATGGCATTCTAGAAACAGAATAACTAATATAAGGTGGGGAAATTTCAGACAAAGAGTCTCTGGGAGACAAAAGTCAAAGTCTGATTGAGGAAGGGCTGTGACACTTCTTGGGGTGATGGTAATGCGCTATCTATTATTAGTAATTAATGTTAAATACGTCCACGCATTTGCTGGAACTCAGCAAATGTACAAATCATTATCCTTAAAATAACATAAAAGGAGAAAAACTAAATAAATACTGAATTCTGACGGTGACTCTATGCTGTGAAGCACAGGAAAGTATACCAATGTCTGCGGTTGACTCTGAGTCATGTCAGAAATAAGACTGATGAGTACAGGATAGATACAATGGACAGCACTAATGGTAGAAGGTAAATGGATGATTATAACACCTACTGCAAAATTATTAAATTCTTCTACATGTTTGAAATTTCTCATAATGAAATTCTAGGAATTTAGATATAACACAATGAGATATACAAACATAAAGAGAATTTTAATGTAGTAGTAGTAAAGGTCCATAAAATACACTTAAAAATAAAATCTAGAACAATGCAAATAAAACTGCATATAATCAATAAGGCAATATAAAGGGAGAATTATATATGAACACGCCCCTTCACACATATATGGATATATGTGCATATATGTGTATAGACATACACGTGTATACATTAAATAAATATATCTTTATTTAATCTATATATACACACAAACATGGATAAGCACATATATCTGAATGTACTCAGAAAGATAAACAAGCTAATGTCAGCAAGTACCTGGTAACAGGAAGGATTGCCCTTCATGTTTTAGGAAAGTACTGTTCCAGGCCTAAAGAAGAAGCAGAACTGATCACCCAGTTCTTGTGTTTTTGGTTTATTTGTGATCAGTCTTCCCAGATTCTTAAGAAATAAGAGAAGCTGAGCATGGTGATATATACACCTGGAACCCTAGGACTTAGAAGTTCTGAAGCAGGAACTCAATGGGTTCCATGCCAGACAGGTCTATATAACCCTTTCCAGGAAGCTTATGTATTTCTCACCCTGGCCCGCTACTGACCTTACACAGTGGCAGTGGTCTATTATTACTCCAGAGCAGTGCTTCTCAACCTTCCTAATGCTGCGTGGAGCCTTTTCATACAGTACCTCATGGTGTGGTGACCCCAAATCATAAAATTATTTTTGTTGCTAATTCATAAATGTAATTTTGAATCATAATGTAAGTATCTGTGTTTTCTCAAGGCCACAAAGGGGCCTCGAACCACAGATTGAGAACCTCTGCTCCAGAACCACAGGTTGAGAACTTCTGCTTCAGAACCACAGGCTGAGAACCACAGGTTGAGAACCTCTGCTCCAGAAGCCAAGTCGGCTATAGTCTCCCACCTCAGACGTTTCACAACAGGAGTTGTGTGTCCTTTTATTTATTTATTAACTATTTTCCTGTATAAAATTTGAGTGACACACACACAGAAAGCCCAGAACATGTGGTACATGTCAGACAAGCTTAGCTAAAAAGCTTATATGTTAAAAGGAAACAACATACTTAAGGGAAAAAAAAAACATCTGATTATCAATGAAAATAAATTATGAAACTCCCACAAAAAACTCATTACTTTAAATTCTAAATAAAAACTTAAATGAATGAGGTTTATTATTCATTAAGGGAAGAAAAAGACATATGTATCTGATTATACAGAGAACTATAAAATCAGGCTGTTGAATTTACCAATATGAAGGTCTTCCGTGACTGAGTAGTTTTGTTCACTGATAAGAAAAAGTAAGGTAAGCAAGGACAGGAGAAGAATTAGAATAAAAAACGAACATGTCTTTAAAAGTATGTTATGAAGAGAGCTCTCAGAATCAGACAGCAGGGAGTAAGTATCATCTAAAAATCCTGAGGAGTTGTGGAGACAAAGAGTGCGGCACATCGATAGGTGAGCCATTCACAGTGAGGGGCAAAGGAAACGGACACAGTGCCATGAAGAACTAAGAGGGTGAGCCGAGTCCCCGATCATGAAGGGCTATGGGCTGTATTCTAGCTGTAATGGAAATCAACAGCTTGAAGACAGCATAGTGACATGATAGATTTTTTCCTCATAATTGGTGAAAATTAATTTCAAGGCAGGTGATGATGACATAGCCTTTAATCCCAGTACTCGGGAGGCAGAGGCAGGTGGATTTCTGTGAGTTCGAGGCCAGCCTAGCCTGGTCTAAAAGAGCTAGTTCCAGGACATATAGGGCTGTTATACAGAGAAACCCTGTCTCGAGAAACAAAACAAAACTAAAATTTAATTTCAAATCTCTTTAGGTTACAATGTCTTTACATCCCTATCTAGTAACACCATCCACCCGTTCCATTTCACTTCCTATAAAACAGATATACTTTTTGTACTTCCTTGCCTTCCATTTACCTTTAAAATGGATTTTATTCCTTTGGTATAGTTATGACACTAATTTCCTCAAGCTCACAATGCCTCTCCTAGGATAAACATTGATAAAATATAGTCCTCAATTTTTCATCTATCTTTCAGAAATATTCTGCTTATCCTTTTGAGCTAAACCATATTCTTCTTCTGTTCTATATATCCCTAACCCTTCTGCATGTGCATGTTAGTGTGCGTGTGTGCACTGCATGTGAAACCCAAGGACAGCCTTGGCTACTGCTTCTCACGTACTGCTATCCAATTTGGTGTGTTGTTGCTGTTGTTTAGAAACAGGGTCTCTTTATTAGCCTGAAACTGGAAAGGAGAAAGAATATTTAAAAAATGTTTGGACACTTAAGAAAGAGTTAGCCCCACCCACGAGGAAGAACTGGGCCTGATGGCCTGGGCATAGGGGAGCTGGCTCTGCCCCCTCACCTGACGGGAGAGGCCCTAGTAGACTGACCCACCCTAACATCTACTCCATCTGGGACCTGCCGGCACTCATGAAAGGACTGGTCCTGTGGGATATCTACAGGATCCCAGAGGAGCTTCAGTGAGAATCCAGTGGATCAGACCAATGACTCTTGCAATGCACATCGGCTAGGAAAGCTGACTGGACAAAAGGGTAACCGGGTGACACCTGCAGATCCTAATGCCACCAGAATGAATAAAGGGGTGCTAGAGAGGTGGGAATGATGGGGGAGTGAAGAGGGTTTTTTGTTTTGTTTTATTTTGTTTACGTTTGCTTGTTTTATTTTGATTTTTAAAAATGTTTTTCTTTGGGGGGGTACTGCAGGGGTGAGGGGAAGATATGGGGGGACTGGGAGGTGAGTAGAATTAAGTTTCATGACTTGAAACTTCCAAAGAATCAATAAAGAAATTATGTCAAATAAAAACTAATGTTTGGTGAAGTTTTCCAAATTTGACAAAAGATTTAAGTCTATATATTGAAGAATTTCCTAAGTCCAAGGAGAGGAAACAGGAAGAAAAGTACACTAAGATACTTCACAATCATACTATTCAAAACTAAACATAACGAGGAATAATAATCGATAGGCTGGAGAGGTAGTTCAGCAGAAGAGCACACACATGGCAGTTCACAATGGTACCCTGTTCTAGGGGATTTGACATCTTCGGGTTTCTGTGGCACAAAGCATGCACATGGTGCACAGACACACATGTGGGCAAAACACCCATACACATAAAATCATACCAAATTTCTGAAAAATAAAGAGATAAAATGTCATAGCAATCACACCAAAAAAGTCATGCATGTACAGGGGAACAAAATGAAGGCCATGTTTCCTGTGGGAAGATGGTAAGGAGACAATGAAGGCCGTGATTCCTGTGGGAAGACAGTAAGGAGACAATGAAGGCCGTGATTCCTGTGACAAGATGGTAAGGAGACAATGAAGGCCAAGATTCCTGTGGGAAGATGGTAAGGAGACAATGAAGGCCGTGATTCCTGTGAGAACACAGTGGGTGCTTAGGAATTCTTTCTAGTTAAACCTCCTGAACTCCTCCTAAGGTCTAAGGGGCTCTTCTGAGCTTTCACTGCTCTTGTTTTCATTAGAAACTACTGGTAGAGTTGGGCATGTACTCAGCATTCAGAGGGCAGAGGCAAGAGGATTATGAATTCAAGACCAGCTTGGTATTTATACAATGAGTGATTATCTCATAAAACCAAAAGTGGGGAAGCTGGGAAACACATATCTGTAACTTAAGCACTGAGAAGACAGAGAAAAGAAGACCATGAGTTCAAGGACAGTGCTGGATACATACTGAGACACTGTGTCACCCACCAGGAACCCCTTTCACTACAACAAGAACAAAGAATGTAACAGGTTGACATGGTGTAAAGGGTTCAAACAGTACAATTTAAATACATTTCTTTAGTTCTCCTCTCACTACACTCTTACAGAAGAATTTTTGCTACTGTAAAAACCAAACCACTTTTCATGTCTTTATATTGTACTGAAAGATACTTCATATGCCCATGAGGGAGTTGCACAGACTTCTTCTACCTCTCTTAACCCATCCACATGCTGGTTCCTTAGGATGGCCAGGACACAAGTTTACGTGAGTGCTAACCCAAGACAGGACATGGACATGTTCATACATACTTTCAGAGGCAGAGAAGGATGTGTCACTTCATCCAGAGGAATCACAAGCTGACCTCCGACCTCCCACTTCTTGCGATCAGAGGAAATGGCATTTTCTTTCTCATACTCCTTGGCATCCTTGTGGCCAGCGACCTCACAAGAATCTGAGTGATGGTGATTCTCCTTTTCATCTTCCTGAGCTTTAAGATTCTCATTTAGCCTACGCAGTATTTCTCGCTTGCTCTGAAATAGTTACACTTTAGTGAGCATATCATTAAATAAGAGCCTGACAGAGTCTCTGAAAACTGTACTTACTGAAACAGCATTGCTGCTCTTTTGCATTTCTTCTGAAGTTTCTTGGGTTTCAGTTAAATTTCCATCCTTTAAACACAAGACGGTTGAAGAGTAAGAGAAAACCATTTTAGGACTCTGAAACAGTTGATATTTTTGTTACTTTCAGTTTTTCATTTAACTGAAATTTAACCCCTGTGAACTTTTCTCATTGCTGTGAAATGTTAACACGGCTTCTGTCATTATAAATAATGATGAACATTTAAACATTATCAATCAGTTAATAAGTTAAATGTGTGTTTGTGTGTGTGTGTGTGTGTGTGTGTGAATTCTCAGTTATTTGTCATGTTTGTGGGTGACTGCTAACAATTATCTCTGTCTTCTTTGGTATCTAACTTTTGATAATTTAAAGTCAATGACAGGCATGAAAAGAAATTCATATACTTTGTTTATTAGAGTTAGGAAAAGGGTTGTCATGTTTTGCTTTTAAAAAAATATGGTTCTTCAGACTAGAGATATGGATCAGTGGTTAAGAGTATTTGCTACTCCTGCAGAGGACCTGGGTATGATTCCCAGAACCCACAAGGTGGCTCACAACCAACTGTTACTCCAATTCTAAAGAACTTAACACCCTCTTCAGGCCTCTTGGGGCACCAGGCATACACACTGTGCACAGAGATATCTGCAGGCAAAACACCCAAATGCATAAAATAATTACGTCTTAAAATGAGCTAGTTCCAGGACAGGCTCCAAAACCATAGAGAAACCCTGTCTAGAAAAACCAAAAAAAAAAAAAAAAAAAAAAAAAGGATCCTGGGGACTGAATGCCTCATGCAAGTGTTTTAGCACCTGAGCTAAAGTCTTAGTCCCAGGGATTGTGTTGGTAGATAAAGGAATTCAGGAGAAGCTGTGTTATTTTGAAAACAAATTTGTTACATACACATTAAGACAAAGCATTAAACACAATTAACAAGTAGCTTTCTTATCTATGGAAAGAAGTAAAAACAGATTCTTAACTTTTCTTCTGATTAGTATAAAGATATTCTTAAAAACTTAATATTTAAGAATATATTAAAAGAAAAAGATTAGTTATTATGAAGGCTATAACAGTGTGACTAAATAATCTTCAAAGTTTTAAATGAGCAGTTTCTATAAACACAACAATAAGAAAAACGATTTAGTCACATGATTACCACAGATTTCTAAGACTTGAAAAACATAAGAGCATAGTGATCAGAATTACAGTAACACATGTAAATGAGACAAGGAGGATTTTACCCAGGAAAGCAGTCAGAGATGACAGGTACTGGAGATGTGAAACTGGGTACCAGGAAGGAAACCACACAAGGAATCTAAAGTTGTAAACAATGCGGCACATGCAAAGTCATTATCAGAAAGAGATAAAAACTACTGGGAGAACAGATTCTTACACGAAGCTCTGAACAGGGACATAGAGCGTTATACTCTGCCTTATTTTCAAGATAAGCACAAAGGCTGCAGAAAATCTCTGTAGTAACCAATAATCTCTGCAGTATGAAAAACATCTAAAGAATTTCAACAAATACAAGTCACAGACAGTAGCTACTGGGAAAGGAAAACAGAGGTTCCTAGGTTGTAGGACTCAGCAGACTGTGTTCAGAGCAGTTTAACCCAGGGAGTCACTCCACATTCGGAGCCATTCCTTTCATCCAGAACGGTCTTTTTAGACAGGTAACCTGGTGCACACTTACAAGTTTAAACTTTTGCTTGTTCGCATATTTTTGTTTGTTTTATTATCTATATAGCTAGCATACAGAGACAGAAGTAGAAGGTAAAAAAAAAATGAATTACATTGAACATCACTTCCCATGTTACAAAATTTCAAATAGGTGTAGAGTTCATTTCTATAGTTATTTACTTTAAGGACTATAAGAGATATTATTCTTTAAAAATTTGCCAATCATGAGGGTTAGGGTACAAAACTGTTTGCCACATTATTTTCAGTATATTGCTTTCAAATGTTTTTACTACATTTAATTAGTGTGTGTGTGTATGTTTGCTGCTGCTGCTACAATTACATGCACATGGAAGTCAGAAGAAAACTTGTAGGAGTTGTTCACTCCTTCTACCATGTGGGTCAGTCTCAGGGATCAAACTCTGATCGCCAGACATCGTGGCAAGCTCCTTTCCCCACAGAGCCATCTTACTAGTTTATCAGAGAGTCATTTCAACACAATGCCCTTTCTATACGCATGCATCTGTGAGACACTGGTTCTAAGATCTCTCTGCTCCCTTGCCAAAATCCACAGGTGCTCAATTCTCATATTTAAAATGGTTAAGTGCATATAGCATATGATATCCTGCACATACCACGAACTGTCTCTAAATTAGTTACAAAACCTAACAGACAGATATGCTATGAAAACAGTTGTGATACGGTTTAACAGCATGAACATCAGCACTACAGAGGCCATCAGTACTGGCCTGGGTAAGCACATCAGCAAAAAACATGACTTTATTTCTCAAACACTTTGGATCTGAAATTGATTAGCTCTGTATATAGGGAATCTTCAAAAGCAGAGTGTTCAAGGCATATTTATCTATAACTGAGTCCTAGATAAAAATCTATGGGCAGAAAAGTTCCAAAATTCAGAGGAAGCCAAAAAAAAAAAAATCCAGAAGACAATCTTTTTACTCTAGGAAACAACAAGGAGGCATTAGAAACCAATGTAATCCATTAAATTCATTTTCGCTTAAATTGATCTGTAGTCTTTGAGGAACTCTAAATTTTATGAAATTTACCAGGCCCACTTCTTTCAAAGCCGAAGTCACAGAAATAACAGGTCTCATTTGCTGCTTTGATGGAGAACCCCCCGTTTCTTGATGCTCCAAAGGTAGAGAAATATCTGAGCTCCTTACCTTCACCAGCAACTGCAAGAAACAGAATACACAGCTAAAAACACTGGATTTCATATCCTCATAGAGAAATAAAAGGCCCCAAGATATCTCTAATGCATAGTACAAATAGCTTCCAATTCCTTAACTCCTCACTGGGCTGGACAGTATGATACATGCTGGTAGAATGTGAACACAGAAATCCCCAGCTGCATGTGTAAATACAGCCACGTGTCTGACAAGCAGTCCTAAATAAAACTGGCTACCACTGCTCGAGCAATGTCTCATAAAATGATTCCGCCAAAAGTCTTCAAGGGTCATGAGGAATGCTCAGTAGTTAATAGCACTTACTTCTCTTGCAGAGAACCTGTGTTGAATTCCCAGCACCAATACAGTAGCTCACAACCATTGTCAACTCCAGTTCCAGGAGATCCAATGCCCTCTTGGCCTCCATGGGCTCCTGCACACACTTGGTGCGCATAATCTCACAGAAGCATACACACATACCCATAAAAATAATAAACACACACATAAACAATGTGTAAGAGTCATATAAAATATTCATTTATAATACCATTATGTTATTTTAATCTAATACAATGTTTAATGTAAAAGTAGTTTATTAATTTTATATTTCAGAAAGAAATGCTTCTAAAATTTCTCCCAAATTTTGTAGTTTCCTTAAAGCCTGAAACCCATACTTCGACACAAGTGCACTTTTATCAGGTGCTAGTCATTGGGACTCTAATCAGCATAAATATTGTGAGCTGAAAATTTTACTATTATAGTTTGTATTTGTGCATTTGAGGTGACCCCAGAGGTTCCCCTGAGCTAGCGTTTCAGGAAGTTGAGAGCTGCTTGAAGCAGGTCCTGTGATCTGTACTTGGGTGCTCTGCAAGAACACTCTTGACCCATCTTTCCAGCTCTCAGACAGTAAACTTCTGAAATAAATAGAGGCAGTGGAATTAGCTGTACTGCTGTAGCACAGAGTGAGTTGCTCCCAACTACAAATCTTTCTTGACTACTAAGACTTTCAGTAAGTATATATTTCAGGTAGTTGTTACAGAGTGTAGTGGTCTTAATAATAAAAACCCAGAGTCAATATCGGGGCAAATGCTGGAAGATCAGAGAAGTATTAGGGAGCCAGCCAACAGAGTGACTTGACTGAAGTGAGCAAGTTCCTGTCCCCAAGAATCCTCAGACTGAATGGGCTGAGCTCCTGTTTCTTCCTGCCTTATATTCCTCTCTCCTCCCAGCCATATCCTTTCCTGTCCCCACCTCCCTAGCACTGGCACTAAAGGCATTTGACTCTCAAGTACTGGGATTAAAGGGGAGAGCCATCACCTCCTGGTTCTGTTTCTCTTTTACACTGAATCAATCTCACGGTGGCCTCGAACTCACAGAGATCCATCTGCCTCTGTCTCCCAAGTGCTGGGATTAAAGATGGTGCCACCACTGCTTAGCCTTTATGGCTAATTAGTGGCTAGCTACGCACTCTGATTTTCAGACAAGCTTTATTTCTTAGAATCACAAACAACATGGCACCACAACTGAGCTATGAATAAAGTGGTAATTCTAATATTTAGACTTCCAATTTTTATTATACCAGTATCTATGTATTTAAACAGTTGCACAACTGATATGGCCAACATTATTAATTATACTGATTTCAAGATGTGAAATAAATTTTTAAAGTATCTAGAACTCATAACAACCAAGTACTCTCACTGTGAAGGAATATGCTAATAATTTGAAACTGTTTTGTTAACATAAGAATGTATATTAAAGGCCTCTCAAATTCTATGGGAATCAGAATAAATTCTAAAATTGTCCTACATAACATCAAAATTTTTAGAATATATTAAAAGTTTTAAGTGATTTCTATAAAAACTGGGGCAGATACCAATAAACCAAAATTAAGAACTGCTGAGAAACACCGTGGTTGTAAATAGTGACATTTCTAGAATCTTGTGCCAATTTTCTTGAAGAAATATTTCCTAGAATTTCAATACATGACTCTAATGTGATTCTTTCTGAGTCAACAAATTCATAGGTCTTGATATCTACTAACAAACTGAGAGTTCCTATCTGTACAAACAATCTAGGTGACGAAGACCATAATGAGTGAGGCAGGGTTCTCTTGAAAAGGCTGTAAACTGCAATGGAAAGGGAAGTAACTGACTGTACTCCTGAGAAACACTACCTGATCTGAACTAGAAGGAAACAGCAGACAAAAACCAAGAACTGAGTGTGTAAGTCAGATGAGGTGCTGAAGACAGCAGCCTCCAAGGCACCCTGAGCCTCAGCAGCCCTTCAGGGTCAAAGTCGGACACTCCTACACCCAAGGTCTCAAACTCACACTTAATACTCTTGTGATTTTTCATTGGACTCTGAGATTCAGTTTCTTCCTCTAACAAAAGAGTGATGTCCTCATTTTCTCTTTTCTGAAGAGATCAAATGAAATAAGTTGTGTGAAGCACACAGCAATTATTGCTTTAACCTTTAACAAATAAATAAGATCATTTGGCATAAGCACCAAAAGCTTAGACTGAATTACTGATGAATTAACTTGCAGAAGCCAAGTTTCTGATCTTAAGAATGCAGAACAAAAACAAAAAGTCATATGTGTATAATCGGAGTTTGAAGTTTAGGCAGTGCACTGGAGGTTTAGAACAGAATTCACAAGAAACAGGGATCCACAAGTCGAATACCTTACCTTATGAAATTCAAAGAAAACTATGATTTAAAAGGATCAAAAAGTAATATAGTTGTATGAATAATTAAGTAGAAGTTACAATAAGTATTGAAACAATTTCACTAAGGAAAATAGCATCAAATGCCCTTCTCAACTTATTCATGAATTTCAAGAATAGCTTTTTCTGTTATTATTGTTTTTATTGAGCTATATTTTTTTCTGCTCCCCTCCCTTTCATTCTCTTCCCCTTCTACCTTCTCCATGGTCCCAGGCTCCCAATTTACTCAGGAGATCTTGTCTTTTCCTACTTCCCATATAGATTAGATCCAGTTATGTCTCTCTAAGGGTCCTCATTGTTGTCTAGGTTCTCTAGGATTGTAAATTGTGTGTGTGGGGGGGGGGTTCTTTGATTTATGTCTAAAATCCACTTATGAGTGAATACATATTATATTTGTCTTTCTGGGTCTGCGTTACCTCAGTTGAGATGATGTTTTCTAGATCCATCCATTTGCCTGCAAAATTCAAGATGTCATTTTTTTCTGCTGTGTAGTACTCCATTGTGTAAAGGTACCACAATATTCTTATCCATTCTTCGATCAAGGAGCATTTAGGTATTTCAAGGTTTTGGCTATGACAAACAATGCTGCTAGGAACATAGTTGAGCATATATCTTTGTGGAACGATTGAGCATCCATTAGATATATACCCAAAAGTGGTATTGCTGGGTCTTGTTAAGGTTGGTTCCTAATTTTTCTAAGAAATCCCCATACTGCTATCCAAAGGGGGTTGTACCAGCTTGCACTCCCACCAGCAAAGCAGGAGTGTTCCCTTTACACCACAACCTCTCCAGCATAAGTTGTCATCAGTGTTTTTTATCTTGGCCATTCTTACAGGTATAAGATGGAATCTCAGAGTTGTTCTGATTTGTATTTCTCTGATGGTTAAGGATGTTAAGCATTTCCTTATATGTCTTAAAGAATATCTTATGGGGCTGGAGGGATGGCTCAGCAGTTAAGAGTACTGCCTGTTCTTCCAAAGGTCCTGAGTTCAATTCCCAGCAACCACATGTTGGCTCACAGCCATCTATAATGAGATCTGATGCCCTCTTCTGGCCTCTCAGGTGTACATGTAGACAGAATACTGTATACATAATAAATAATAAAGAAAACATTAAAAAAAGAATATCTTAAAAGCTATTTTTGAAATTATTGGGCAGTCACCTATTAATAGGAGCATAAAGGAAATTCTTGAAAGAAAGACCAATACTCTCACTGCCTCAACAAATTATACTTAATTTGGTCATAATGATTTTTGTGTATGTATGAAGGCAAAAGATTGATGTCACGTGCCTTCCTCGATCATTCTGCAACTTATTTTGGTAGGTAGGCTCTCTCACTGCGCCGCCTGCAGATTTGTTCTAGATTGGTTGCTCAGTGAATCCAAAGGATCTTTCTGCCTCAGCCTCCCCAGTACTGGAATAATAGGTGTGCACAGCCTTGCCCAGCTTTTATGTCAGTACTGTGGATCTGAATTTAGTCCCTTAGGCTTCCCTAGCAGGAACTTTGCCACTTAAGTTATCCCCCTATCCACATTTACCCATACTTGTTAAAAAGTTCTTTCAAGCTAGGATGTAATTCAATGGTAGACTAGCTGTCTACTATGAGGAAGGACTTGATACTCAGAACTATACAAATTAAGTCTTTCTTATCTACATAATTCCTATATACATAAACATATCCACTGCTGGGAAGTGTGGCCTTGTTGAAGCAGGTGTGGCCTTGTTGGAGGAAGTGTGTCACTGGGGGTGGGCTTTGGGATTTCAGATGATCAAGCCAGGTCCAGTGTCACCCTCTCTCCCTGTTGTCTTGCTGCTCTGAATATGGAACTCTCAACTACTCTCCAGTACCATGTCTCTCTGTGTGCCGCCATGCTTCCCACCATGATGACCATGGACTATAAACCAGTACCAATTAAAAGTTCATCTTTAAAAAAAAAAAAAAAAGAACAACAAAACAAACAAACCAAAAATAAAATTTTATATAAGATGAAACCCATGAATGAAGTCTCAAAAATCAAAAAGTCACTTTTTAAAATGAAATTGATCACATGGCCAATGAAACTGATCACAGGGCTAAGTCTAGAATATTTACTTCCTTCTCAGTATAGTTTTAGAAAACTCATTCAATTTTAAATAGAAAACCTTTCAACAGGACTAAAGCATTTACTTGAAAGTTTCACAAGTCAGATTTTTGTATGTGTTTGTATATGTGTGTATATATATATATATGTATATATATATATATACATACATATATATGTGGATTTGAGAGTGACACGCTGCCTACTGTGTGTATATATGAGTGTGTGTGTGTGTGTGTGTGTGTGTGTGTGTGTGCATGCGCATGCATGTGCCCAGGCTGGCACATAGACCAGCACAGCCTTCAAAGTGTGTCTCAGGCTCCTAAATGCTGGGAATACAGGCACAAAGTACCATAATGAAGATAAGAAGCTTTTTTTCTTATGGTACTAGGAATCGAACCCAGAGCTTAGGCAGGCTAGGCAAGCCTTGACTGTTGAGCCACATCCCTGACTCTTGGAAGACAGGCTTTAAAATAAATCTATAGAAGCGCACATCCCTGCCATGCCCACACAAGCTTGACAAATTTGAAACATTTTCACATTACTTACACCTCCACAGACTTTCAGTTACCATTACAAGATTTTCTATTTTCTATTTCAATTTCACTATGTGCTGAAAACTTAAATCAGTGGTAGCACCAAAAGACAAAAGTAAAGCTGTAATCAAAAAAAAAAAAAAAAAAATGGAGGAGCTTTTCAAATGTAAATCACTACGGATTTCTCAAGTCTTAAGTCACAGAAGGGTAGCCATCACTCCACTTCTATATGTGGATTAGGGAGGATGAGTAGGTATGCCAGGACCAGGCCAAAGGGGCCCGACTTCATATCCTGAATATGGAATAATTTTGCATGTACTTCTGTAGCACCTAAGGATACATCACAGCTAAACTTCTGTTGGAAGAACAAATCCAAACTATCAGCTGGCAGAACTGAGACCAAAAGTCAGATGTCTCATTCCAGACACATTTTTCCTCCTATACTAGGCTATAATCAATAAACAAATGTTTCTTGAACAATCCTCTATACAGATTTGAAATAAGCTGAGTCATAAAATTCACAACAAATATATCCGCTTGTTCCTTATCTTCCTTATCATTATCATCATCATCATGACAAAGCTAATCTGACGCTGTGTTTTCTGAGTTACATGAACTTGGGCTGATGAAGGCACAAAATTCTGAGTGAGTAGGGCCTATAGGTCTAGGAAAAACAATATTTGATAATGAGCTATGCCAGTCACAGGATGAACTGAGACACAGACATTCACCCTACCTTGGGGGAACACAGGTAATGAAACAAGCAAGCAGAGGCCTGCTGCTAAAGAGGGCCTGTGTGTGCATATTGATGGGAGCAGTTAAGTAGCTGACCCAGTAGCCAAGACTGTGGGGGAAACAAAAAGTGAAGCTCATGTCAACTATTATCAAACAATTTGATGTTCCATGAGACTTTTGTCTGAACTCAGCATTTTAAAAAAATAAGGCTGAATTGGACCACATATAAGTTCATTATATTTGATGGATACAATACTATTCCACCCACCGTCATGGTTTATGAAAAATGTTAGAATGGATTACTAAGCATTAATTTAAAAAGGAAAAACAATGACCTTAATACTTGCAATTGTGATACTGCACCTGGACACAATGGTAATAAGTTCACCAAGACAAAAACTTAAAACACACACACACACACACATACACACACAGTTTTACACCAACTTGTCCTGATATAATACGAAAGGCAGCATGTACTAGTTGGGCTTTTGCCTCCTGTGCTGAAGACATAATCCTAGAAGACATAATGTAGACTCTGGTTTCCCATCACTGGGTACGTATGCACCAGAAGTAGGCTCACAACTATTTCTGAGGGCAAGGTAAGTTTGGAAGAGATTTGGGCAACACACGAAATGAATGGTTCTATTAAAAGGATGGGATATACTTTTGAAAAATTCTCTTGTTCTTGGGGTAAAAATGTTAACTTATCAGTTATTGCTTCATACCCATTCTATACTAATACTATATCTGAGAGGAAAAACAAGGAACATTATGTTAAGAACATGAGTCGAATACGAAATCTAAACAAAGGCCAGAGGAGCAGGAAATAATTCCTAGGTGTCTGAAAAGATGGGAGTGTATGTACAATAAGTCAAGTCTTATTTGTGCTAAGGCTGAAATCTAGGCCAGAAAAGGGACAAGGTGAAGGTGAGTTCTCCACTGTTTAGTTTTGAAGTTAAAGAGAAAAACATAAATAGCAAAGATTGAAGAACTTAGAAAAGTTATAACCAAAATTATATTGGATATAAATAAAAGAGAATTTATTGAGAAGTTCTTAGTCTTATTTCTGAGCTCTGGAGTTCTGACTCTTCCATTCATAATCTTTGAAAAAAATTGACTGAGTGAGACATAAAACCATTATTTCTTGTTATCACAGCATGCAGTGCTATACTGGACCATTTCTGTTAAGAACAAGAACAAGTCATCCCTATTATTACTTATCATTGTCCAAGGGAGTCTAGCTAATACAACAAGTGACACAATAATAACAAAAGTTGACATTATAGAAAGCAGAGAAAAAATGTGTAAGAATTAAGACTATGGCACCTGGGAACCCAGAGCCAAACCAGTTCTCACTGAAACTGTAAATGTGACTTCATATAAGCATTTTCTCTGCTTTGTAGTCAAAATTAAAGAAAAACAACACATGCACAGTAGTTACAAATGCCTGCATTTGTATAATAAACTGGAGGAGCTGTGGCAGCATATCATGACAAGACTGCATTCTAAGATCCCACGAAGTTAAATGAAAATTACAGACCAGGAAACTTACTATGACCTAAAAATAGGCAAAAATCTACAATTTCTCCAAATACAAGCAATATTCTGTTAGAGATGGAAAACAAAATATATGAAGGATCTTCAAGTCACTTATATAATAAAAATTATGATATAAAATAATGAATAGACACCTAAAATTAACATGTTCCTGGATGAAACTTTATAAACACATCATTTCTTAAATTTAACTTATAGGTTTAATAATGTTATATCTATACAAATTCCAACAGGATTAAAGCAACAAAAATCACCCTAACAAAGAAAAAACAAGCACATGAAGAAAGGAAAAGAACCAGAACTGTGAAAAGGATGGTAAAGCCAAAGGAAGGAAGAGTCCTATGAAGAAACTAAAGTTTATTCTACCCTACAATCACCCATGTGTGAGGTATCAGCAGAACAGGCAGAAGAGCCCAGCAGAGGACACACCCACAGGAAGACAGTTTTTCTGCACATATGCTAGAAGGTCATTTATAAGAATTTAAAAGATTTTGAGGTAGCAGTATAAATCAGTGGCAGATTATCGTTAAATTTGAAAGACAAAGGGTGCTGGGGTGGGGTGGGGCTAAAGGGAAAGGGAAAGGAAAGCTGAGGAGGAGGAAAAGAGAAAGGAAAGTGAGTAAAAATCAGAAAAAAGGGTTGCTATGGCTTGATCATGGCACACTTGACGATCCTCAAAAGAGCCCAAGGACATGAACCAAGGAGCCTTACCTGCTCTTCCCACACCCGCTTTTCTCTCTCATAGGCTTCCTTTCTTTTTCGCTCCAGCTGTTCTTTTAGGACAGCAGCACGGGCATTTGTCTGGGCCTGAAAATGAAAACCATTAACACAATTAGTTATGAGAAGGAAAGCCATGGTATCATCCTCCAACCTGGGTCTAAGCAAAGAAGTATGTGTGTGGTTCCAGAATAAAAACGGACACTCACTCTGTACCCCTCAAACCTTGGACAACAGGGGATCAATGATATTGGCCATAAGTCCAATACACTGGAATGGAAATTAAAATGTAAACACTTAAGACAACTGTTACAAATATCTACAAAAACTTGTAGATTTCATTTGAGACAGTGTCTTGCAATTTATATGTATATATCCCAGCCTGGCCTCGAACTTATGGCTATCCTCCTGCCTCGGCCCACTGAATGCTCACACTATAGGAGTAACCCACTTTAAAGAATTACATGTGTCACAGTTCTAAGTATTCACATCATAATCTCACCTACTTGTTCTTCATAAATGTTGTACAAATTTAAAAAGTGCTATTTCGCAGAAATTGTAAGATGACAGATAAATGGGAAATCAAAAGTTAAAGTAAGATAATGATCCATCTATATAAAAAAAAACTTAATAACAAACTTTTCTCTCTCAGCTTTCAATTTCCTAAAATACTTACTAAGGTATCTAGTGCATACCTTAAGTGACTCCATCTTTTTGAGCCTCAAGTCAGCCTCTTCAATTGCTTCTGGCCCTTTGGTACCATTAGCTTCGCTCTAGAACAATTGTCAACATACCACTTAGCAAACAGCAGCCAGGCTCAGTGCCACCTCTGCCTGGACCAACAACATGTGCAATGAAACCACTGACTGCTGTCAGTTTTCTCCCAGAGCTGCAACTGAACCCCCCAGAGCAAAAAACAAGGAAAGAATGATGCAAGTGGCCTTTAATTCCGTCAGGCACATCAGGTATGTTCTATATTAAAATTCCTATGGAACAAACGATTTACCAATTTGAAATCATGTATTTAAGATTTACTTCATTCCTACATATAGTTTTCTGGTCTTTGACCTTCATTTTCTTTTAACAATTTTAGCTTTTAATATTATGGACATGGTATGTTTAAAGTTAATCTATTACTGAATTATTTTTGAAAAATTGATTTTTACCTACATTCTCACCACGAAGTTTGGCTTTAATCTGTTGGCGCTCATTGAAATTTTGTAGTCTTATTTGCCTCAGTCTTGCTAGATAAACCTAAAAGAGGAACAACAACAACAAAAATTCACTTAAAAGGAAATCTATGAATATTTTTACTGCTAAAAAAATCTTAATATATAGAAAAGTGTTAATCTGAATACAAAAAACAAAAGTTCTGAAATTTGGTTAATGAAATGAAATATTAGCCTTCAAGTATTTAATTTAAAGCTTTTTTCTGCAAAGAAAGAAATATGTTATAATTAACAAATTTTTAAATTATATCAAAAGAAAAGAAATTGAAACTCAGAAGACTGAGTTATAACAGTTATGAGGCAAAATTATGACATAGCATGTCAGTCAAAACATATTAACAGGTTCCTATAGACTTACAAAATCTTAAAATAATTGTTAAGCATTTAAACCATGCAAGAAAAGAAGGCGATGAACTAAAAAATGGCTGCATGGCGGAGGCATGAGCATGCGGGAAGCAGACCTCCTCCTCCTTGTTCCTTGGCTTCCCTCCTCTGGAAGAGCTGGGCCTGCCTCCATACAGAGATGCCAGGTTCTGCAGGATTCCCTGTTTGTCATTTAATGTACTAAGTTTAAGGAATGAGTGGGGCTACATTGCCCTTCCACCTAGGCATCCACATGCCATTTCTTTCTTTTGGATAATACTGGCCACTTCTAGGTACTACACTGACAAGCCCTGGCACTTTCTACGACCACGATGGCATGTAAACTCAGTGAGAACTGACGTCTAATTAAGTCCAACTATAATTATTTAAAAACAGAGACTGCAGACAGATTGTTTGGGTCTAGGAACTCTCAAAGTCAGTCTTTGCAATACAGCAAGACCCTGCCTCCAAGAGCAACAACAGATACTCCATTACCTATTCTTTTTCTTTCGAACTACAAAAGTTAGAATTTATTGGAGTAACATTTGAGTAACTACTTAATGTGGAACAAAACTACCTCAAATGCTTCCTGAACTTGACTTTCCCATTCTTTTTACAACATGACCTTATTCTTAGTCCAGTTGATTATGATCAATCACTAGAGTCAACAAACTAGAGTTTATTTTTGCCTACTATCAGCCAAATGCAGATGTTTCCAGTTCTCTTTCCTAGTTATTATTGAGCCCTTCAATTTCTGCCTTATATTAGGTATTTCTTTTGAATTCTGAATCTCCAAAGCAATTTGCTAATTTATACTCCCTGTAGTATCACATGTATCCCTCGGTTATTTATGTTAGTTATGCTGGCCTTTATGAAGTGGCAAACAAATGTTCTATCAGGAGCTACCTCACCCACCTCCACAAATCTGTTCTTGTGTGTTAGTGCATATAAGGAGGAGCTGAAACTATAACTGTAAGTGAAAACATGAGAATTCTAGAAATGTTCATTTCTATAAAAACATGCTTACAAATAAAAGGCTATTTAGGAGATAATTCCTTTAAAATGTAAGGTTCTCAAAGGTTAGCTTCATAAATGTTTAATGCTTTTCTTTTAATTTTCCATAGTAAACTTCCTACATTTATTAGAGAAATACACATATATATGTAAATGAAGTAGGTTTATTTAGAAGTAATTTTTAAAATGTTAAAAGATTGCACAAAAGGCTCCATTTGTATAATTTCTGACACTGCTGGTGTCTAGAAAAAATTAGATTATACTGGATTTAGAAGCCAGATTTATAGAAGGTTAAAAAATGATTGACAGTCAGGAAAATGGAGATAATGAGTATAAAAGTACATTTACCATACACTGATACAAGATAATAGATGGGGAAAGTGGATTAAGAACTCTTTCAAGTTTGAAGAAACTTTAAACATAATTGTATGTTGAAGGAAGAGAAAGTACATAATTGGATAACTGGTAGTGTTGCTGAAGCGTGTGGATAATTTCTAGTACGATAATCCCACTTTCTCCATCAGCTGTATTTGGGAATGAGTCAGTTTGTGCCCGGGGCTAGTCATTTGTAGGCTTCTTCCAGGGCACACCTGAGAGCAGAGTATGATCTAGGTCGGATAACTAATGTACATCAGAGTCTTTGAAATCAGCAGTGAATATAAAAGAGAGTGTGTGTGTGTGTGTGTGTGTGTGTGTGTGTGTGTGTGTGAATGTGTAGTATGCACACAGATACCTAGAAATGAATTGGATCTTTTTAAGGGCAAAAAAATTATTATAGTGCTTTGAGTTTTAACTCCATGAATGACTTAAAACTTCTTTAATGACTCAGTTTCTACAGTCGTAAGGCATGAAGTTGGTACCTCCTCTAACCTACTATATACCGTAGTTTATATGTGAGCTAATTTTTTTAAAAAAATACAATTATCCACAGAGTTTAAGGAGAGTCGATGGCTATATAAATGCAGTCCAATACAAAATTACGAAATTATGGGATTTTTTCTGCAATGTTTTGTAAAACAGATTGCATAGCTTTTAAGTATTAGCTTTATATAACAATGTGGTCCAGATAAGTTAAAAGATTAGACATTTACTCTTGCAGTATTTTCTAACACACATGGCCAATACTTAATTCAAAATCTCAGCCACAATCACATGATGCAACCTCTGGAAGCACAAGAGCACTGTGCACTGTGCATGCTGTTACTGTTACTCACTCAACACCCATGATTCCTGAAACTTGGGCTCCAAATTCAGGACTATGAAATGCAGTGCTTTTACTGGATACAACACTTTTCTGCTCTTGTAGACATTTAATGTTTAATTATAGAAAACAAAAAGAGAGGCTCTGCCTTATTAACACAGCAGGTGAGAACCAACTACTCCAAGTTGTCCTCTGATCTGAGTATAGACCTACATTCATACACATACACAAAAATAAAATAAAAAGCCAGTGGAAATATTATTTACATTTTCAAATTATCATAGGTATTAGCATTAATGGAAAGTACTTACTAGGTACAATTTGAAATCGCTGTTGTTAATATATTTTCCTAAAGAATAAAGGTTAACCTTAAACAGTACCAATTATTGTACAGTAGTATATGTAAGCGCAACTGTTAAATAGAGACCTCAGCAGTTGTAATGTTGAACTGAGAGGCGAAAACTGTCACACCAATAAAACATAAATGAAAAACACTATAAACATGCATTAGTGACTACTGTGAAATTAGTCTCCAGAGAGCCCTCTGTCCTTAATGCTCCATCTCTTTACAATCGCATCCAGGTCTCTACTGGACATCCCTCAGAAGTTCAGTGTTCTAAACACCTGATGACACAACGCGAACGTATTTCAAATCCACTGCCAGGGCTGAGGATAGAGTGTGATGGCAGAATACTTGCATTGCATGTGCAAAATCCTAGATTTGGTCTCGAGTACTGCCCTCCACCAGCCAAAAAAACAAACCAACCAAACCCAAAATCTACCCCCCTGAAACAAACCAAAACACTAGCAAACAAAACTAAAGATCTTGCTAAAGATTAAAGTACTTTTTTTATGAAACAATGGCAGTAATATTGGAAAACCATCCAAATCTCATGCAAAATCCTCTACAAATATGATAAATAATGCTAATTTACAGTTAGAAGAATTGATCTGAAGGAACTGCTGGTTATACAGTGGTCCATGTATGAGATTCAAGCTCCCTGGGAAGCCTCCCTCAGGACCAGCCCCCTGTCTACAGAACAAGGCCATTTCACTAAAATGCTACTAATTTACAAACCATTGCTAAACTTATTGCTATTCTTATGGCTATTCTTTTGTGTCTGACAGACTTCTAGTATGGCCAATTTTACTAAGGGATTTTTTAAATATACAAGTTCATAATAACAGTTATAATAATAGTAAAAACTTTCTTTAGGGTTGAGGATGTAGTTGAGCAATATAGCCCTTGGCCTGCATGTGGATAACGCCAAGTTTGAAACCTAGCACTGCAAAACAAACAAAAAAGGACATGTGATTTAAGCCAAAAGGCTGAGAAGAAGCAATTTAAATAAAAAGAAAGAAAAAAGAAACAAGTCAATATAAGTGAATAAATAAATAAATAGGAATTATTTGGACAGAAGGAAAATAAAAAGCTCGTCAAATGCTGGGAAAGTATAGTTCAGTGATAGTGTTGGTTCAGCACATCCAAATTCTTGGGTTCAATACCCAGCCACACACACACACTCCTGGTTGCAAGGGAAAGGGAAAGGAACCACTATTCCCACTTGTCTATTTGCATTTCTGTCACTGTAATAAATACCCTAATGAAAAGGAATGCAATGAGAAAGCTTATTCTAGCTTATAAATTCCAGGGAACAGTCCAGCACTGCACAGAGGTCAGAATGGCAGAAGCCTGAAGAGGCAAGTCACATCACAGCCACAGTCAAGAGCAGAGAGAGAACACTCATGCCCACTTGCTTGTGGCTCATTAAGTGCTAGACTCATAGAGGTCATCATTCCTGACTGGGGAATGATGCTGTCCACAAGGGGTCTTTGCACATCAATTACATAAATTAATCTCCCAGAGACTGCCCACAGGCCAACCCAATACAGACAACATCTCATTGAGAGTCTCTTCCCAGGTGACTCTAAATGTGTCAAGTTGACAACTAAAGTTAACCATCACGCTACTGAATTAACACATAAAACATAATTTATAAATGCACTGTGAAAAATGAAAGTATACATTCTTAGTCACTGAGGCACTCACTACTGAAAGGTTACACAAAGATACAATCAAAATGATATCATTGATTAAAATGGAATATTGCAAGAGAAGCTGAAGAAAAATAGACGAAGCAAACGTAAAATGGTAGAACATAACTAATCCAAACATAAAAATTATACTGCCATTGAATGTTATTAAATAATTATGTAAATAGACCATTAAAAGATAGAGGAGGAGGTGGAGGAGGAGAAGAGGAAGAGGATGAGAAAGAGGAAGAGGAGGAGGAGGAGGAGGAGGAGGAGGAGGAGGAGGAAGAGGAGAGGGAAGGAGGGAAGGAGGGAAGGAGGGAAGGAAGGAAGGAAGGAAGGAAGGAAGGAAACAGTTCCAAAAGCCCCAAAGTATTAACATGTAAAGACCAACAATTACATAAAAGGACATG